TAATTGCACATTCCTTTTTTATATTTCTATCCTTTTATTTGTAGATATCAGCTCAAAGTCTATGGATTACTTCAAAACAATGATATCAACATTTAAAATCTTTGTGTACATTTACATATTTAGCATTTAAACGGTTGTGAAAATGGGAATTTTGAACATTTCAAGAGAAAGCCCCATGGAACACCATAGAACATTTAAGGAAAAGACAGGAAAAAAAAATCCTAGGCAGTCTTAACAATTTTCAAAATTATTGTCATGACAAAGATTAAGTGCTTGTGGTTGCTCCGCAGTATAGATAAGGAGCATTAAAGATTTAAGATGTGCCAAAGTGGCAACATGTAGCTGGTCACGCTGATAAGATGTAGGTGGCCATCCCTACCGAATGAGGAACCTCACCTGAGCAGTGACGACCAGGGAGATGCTTCAGATCACAGTTTCCAGCTAATAAAGAATGTCTTGGAAGTGAATAATATCCATTTCAACCATTTAGTAAGATTTGCTTATATGTAAATTTGAAGGAAAGTTAAGTTTTGAATGACACGATCCACAGTGAAAGTGTGCTTGTTCTAACATAAAAGCTCTGGAGAAAATCTAATCTGTCCTGTCTTTCACTAATTTGAAGGTGCAGGTTTAAGATTAAGCAGCTGCAGCTTTAATCTGTTGGGGTAATTTGGTAAGTGGGCACATTTTCTGGATGTAAGAATAAAATCCACTGTTGTTTGTCATTACAATGGGGGAGCGGCTGCCCCTTTATTGTGTCCAAATAATTGAAAAATGAGCGCCTCAGTGATGAGGACACATTGTATGTTTTTTTTTATTTTCGTACGTGCCCTTTAAAAGGCTGTGCATGCAAGTGCCAAGTTCTGCTACTTTCTTTCTCCTTTTTGTCAGCTGTTATTTAGAATCCGCCACTCCTGTCTGTTTCTTTCCAGAGTTCAATGTAGTGCTCTTTAAACTCAGAAGTGAGCATTTGCGAGAAGTTTGGTCAAAGCTTGATGGACTGGAGAGAACAGAATAATGAAGTCTGTATTTTCAAGGAGTCACGAAGAATGTAAAACAACGCGGAAACAATAGATTACAGATTAATAAATTATTTTAATAATCGTCAACTAATTTAGTAATGGATTAATCCTAACATTTTGCATTCAGGTTGAGAAACAGCTTTTGTCTATATACAGTATATGCTTTATCCAATAGTCTTCTAAGAGTGAAGTTTTAGCTTTACTTGGTTTAAATTCTGTGTTAAATTCTCTTTAAGGAATTTAATTTTGGCACACAATTATGAATCGATGAATCGAAAAAAGAATTGACAGATCAATCGATTAGCAAAATAATAGTTAACTTATTAATTAACTCAACAACATAGAATGGGGGAGGTAAGCAGGATGTGGAATTGGAGTGTCAAAAACCTAACAAATTTTTAAAGACAGACCTTAAATATGTGGCTTTGCCTAGTCCATTTCACATCACAAGTTAAAATACTAACATTTACAGTGTAAATATTTAAAAGTAAGATAGTGCTCGATAAAACACAACAAAAAAAAGAAACAATAAAGAAAAATGTTCTATTTTTACTGAAATGTACCTTTTTGTCACTATTGCTGGGGATTTATTTAATGCAAAATACTTATTTTACTTTTTTTTTTTTTTGCATGAATTTGAAGCTGTTTTACTTCTTTACTGTATTTGTGTTTGACCTAAGACCCATAAATCCCCAAAACTCAAATACAGAACTTTCCCTCAGGCAATAAGCGGAAGGTCTACAAAGACACTTACTTAAAGTAATGGTTGAAGAGAAGCTCCTACAAAATACTCAGTAATCCACATACATAATGGTCCCAGGAAAGATCTGCACATAATCTGTCCATCCACTTCGCAAACAGGAAAAGCTGTGAGACATGTAAACACAGCAACAGTAAACCAAACTGCATGTGCTCACTATGCACATTGCTTTAACTATCAGTCCTTCTACACATGTGTACCAACTTGACCGATAATCCTAATTAACCAAGCATTAGCAAGAGTAGAGCCAAGATGCAACTGAAGACTATCACCTCAGACTTAGCCCTTCACACTTAGTGCACTGAGACTGCTGCAGTCTGTTCCAACTCTTGTGTTGTTTTGACCAGATGAGTCTGAAGTTTAGAAGTCCAAAAAACAGTATTAATTTATATTATCAACAGACAACAATGGTAACTCTGCATGTGATTATTTTACTTTTCAGTAGAAACAATAAGAAACCAAACTGGTCTCTTTTAACACCCAAATGTTAAACTTCTGAGTGTTTTTCATTAAGTTTGTGTCTTGTTTTAAATTTTAGAATCACAATGTCTCAAATTGATCCCCGGTAAAATGCTCCCTTAACTTTCCTATTTTAGGATTGGGTTGATGAAATGGTGGCTTTCCTCTGCTGATGATCATTGTCTTGTTAATAAAACAAGTTTAAAGCCTCAGATAACAGAGGAAACCAAGTTCAACAATCTACTTCCCTGCCGTCTCTAAATGTGACAACTTTTTGCTGGAAAATCGTACAGGTTGACAGCACTTCGTTAGTGACATAATGCGTTAAAAAATGTTGGAGTCTGATCATAATTTACAACTTCTTTATTCAGTTTAATATCTTGAATTGGATTGATTACATATGTTCTAGATAAAACATATCCCATTTTACCTATCAGCTCTAAAATCAGACTGAATTTATTGTTTTACTTCTGCGCATCTAGATTAGATTAGATTAGATTAGAGACTTTGGACCTGTGAACTTTGGTTTTGTAATCATTCACTGTTCCATCCTTCCCCGCCCTCTGGTTCAAGTCATTGTCCTGTTTTTTCTTTTTTTATTCTCCCAGGTGCATTGTTTCTGTCCATTTTTATGGATACTACAGAGTTTTTTGTATGCCCTTTGTGTTTAAAACACCATCTATCACCTACATTTTTGAGTGTCTTGGTAAAAATGTTAACTATCTGGTGGGGGTATTGTACTTTGATCAAAAATAGGTATGCAAACATCCAATACATGATCATACAATTACTTTTTTACTCTTTTTTTAATGAAAAATGTTTACAAAAATGTTTTTTTGCACACATTTAGGTTGCTTTCCCATTACATTGCTGGGAAAATAGCTATGAAATTGTAGAGTAATCTGTGATTAAAGAAAATTGATTGAATTTATAAGTTAGATTCAATAAATAGTTACCGGTACTCATATCCCCAATAAGAGAGAGAGAGAGAGCTATAGGTTTAACTAATCTGCAACAAATTCCCTGTGAAGAGCAAAGGTAATTGACCTAGAATCATGATACCTACCAGCCATTAATGCTCCTGCTGCTTTAAAGACTGTTTACACTGTGGACATGAATCAACATCGCATACATTTCTTTAAAGAAATCTGCAACGCTGCGTCACAATTTGTGCGTTTATGTGAGTAGTTCTGTTGCTTTGAACTAAATATTGAACTTTACCCTGATGTGTGGTGGATTTAGGTGGATGCCCCAAACTTTAAATTTCATATTTGGTTCTGATGCGACGGTAAAACAAAATCTCTTCTGGTCAATAATGTTGCATATTATTATGTTTTATATTTAGGAGGCGGCGTTGGGGAGAGTGCGCCACTGCGTGTGCGCCTCAGCGCGGGGGCTTAAAGGCTTGTAAGCCTGCCGTGAGCGCAACCCTGCACCCTCACATTGACCCAAACAGGAACCACATCTCCAAATCCAAGCAAATTACACAACCCGGTTTAAAAAACAAACAAACAAACAAAAAAAGAACAAATCCTACTGGATTATTTCACCCTAACAATGATACAAAGTATTTGGGTGGGATTTGTTTGAAATTAAACTTAGTTGATATTCAAGTCCTTCATCGTGTAGGCCTATAAGGTTTTTGAAAAGTCTGACAAAAAACAAAACAAAGCTAGGCTTACGTCACATTACACCATTTCCTCCTTTGCTAATTAATCCCGAGATAGATGCTTCACTACGCTGATCATCATATGTGGTTAATTAAAAGCAACAGTTGTGCGCACACAGAAAACATTCAGTGCATCGCTTTGAAGACAACATGTAATAAACAATTAAAACCCTGAATTAGTTTTATTAACTTATCTGGCTAAGAACAAACAAATCACATAAAAAAAACAATATGTAAAAAGATGCTGCAAATCTACCAGAGGGCATATAATAACCCAAAAGAGACTAGATGAATTAAACGCACCTAATAGCTAAGAAAATATAGACAGGAAACTCACCAGCGTCCGTGGGAAACAGTTATATGTTAGGGGGATAAATGATAAGACATGTCACTGCCTGAAGCGCTGAGATGGTGGACAATCCGCGCGCGCTCTCGGAACCACTGGCTTATTGCGCGCGAGCAGGGCTGCTAATTCCCCGAGCAGTCCACGCAGAGAAGGAAGGAAGGTGTGGGTATATTACTGAGCCTCGCATGTGTGCGGGAAACAGCAGAGAACGAAGAGCTTAGAGGTGAACACTCTTCCACATCTATCTATCTATCTATCTATCTATCTATCTATCTATCTATCTATCTATCTAATGGAAAAATAAGTATTGTTTTTATATATAAACCAGTAAACAATACTGAAGATCAAGCTGCTCCATTAACAGATACCTTTAGTTTAAGGCCAAATCTCTACCAGGGTTTGCATAAATGCAAACATTTCAGTTTAAGATTTGCAGTAATCTTATACAATTTGAGATCCTCTATCATGGGGATATTCATTTGACCTTTTCTGTATGGAATTTGCATGCTTTCTTTGGGTTTCTGTCTGGGTCCCACTGATATAAAAACCTTTTGCAGCTACTCTAAAATGTCCTTAGATGTGATGCAGCTATTTTTCCTGTATGCCCCTGTGCTGTCTTGTGACAGACTGACCTGTCCAAAATCTGGTCATGAAATTCAAATGGAAACAGGAATAGACAGTAGCTGGCTGGATAAGGCTATTTAAACATTTAAAAACACTCAATATCAACTTTATTAAACATATTTGCATAAAGAGTGTCCAAAACAAGTACCAACAAATAGTAGAAACTGTATGGTTTGTTTTATTGGTATTTGTGAGGCTGGATGGCTACATTTTGTTCAATTACACACAAAGCATCTACATTTAGAACATTTGTTTTCTCTTTTAGTTGCAGTGCTTGGACACACAGTCACATGCAGCTACAGACATGACGGTGTGGTGGCTGCGTGTGCCATTGGCACACAGGATTGGCACGCTGAGTGGTTCAGTCTTCATGGCAGAGCAACACACACACTCCTGCTCAACAGCAGCGCTCTGCAGGGAGTACATAGATTTGCTGCGACATTTGCCCTGAAAGACAGACAGACAGATAAACAGGGTACATGCATAAGCATCACCAGGCAGACTGAGCAGGTGGGATGGTGAAGAGAAAATGTAACATTAAAGGCCAAACCAAGGGCAGAATGTTAAATCTGTCTCTGCTGTCTCACCTCACAGTAGTACAGCTCAATCGGCTGCTCTGATTGGCAGTCATCCACTTTGACGTAGTCGAGCGTTCCTGCTGTCCTGCGGCACTCTGGCTCAGTACCTGTACACATGCAATTTTTAAAAGTTATTATAATTGTTAACATTTCTTTTCATTACCATTCAGTCTCGAAAAGGAATCACTTACAAGTTTCACAGCAGGTTTTTCCAATCTGACTGACTTTGCCCTGTTAAAGATAACACACAAGAAAAAAAGAGCTAAATATAATTTTATGTTGAGAAATCAGGAGTTATTTTTCTAATTTAGCAAACGAGGTTGTACCCCTTTAGCTATGCAGGCTTGATGGTTAAAAGGAGGGCAGGTGGTAACTTTGGTCTCCAAGACAAGATCCCCTCGGCTGTTCACACCACAAGTATAGACGTAGCAGCCATCCTCAACAGTTGAGTTGACCTGATGAGTAGATCACATAATCACAGCATAATTGTTTTGATTTTGCTGTCATAAGCCTATTTGTTTCCTATCTTCTCAGTACCCCGATTACTTTCCTTCTAAACATTCTTTTGAACGAGGAGCTGGAAGCAAGGAGGTTAGCCGGAGGAGTTAGGGTGCAATAGAAAAGTATTCGTCCTCAAACATATTCCTTGGTTCTATACTTATTTTATAGCTGACTCAGTCGTTTCAGGTTTATTATCAAATAAAAGAAAATTCCCAGTAATTAAAAAGTTGTTGTATGTGTATGATGATTTCCTATATTTGGGGCAGAGCCTGCCCAAACTTGTTTTACTTCACCTACATCAGAGCTTTTTCAAACACGAGTGGCCTATTTAGAAATGCAACAAAATCTCAATCAGACATAATTCTAGACTTTGACTAAGACACTTTGAAACCCTCTGTGTGCTTTGGATCAATACATTGTCCTGTTGCATGGCACAGAAACATAAATTAACCTAAGATCTGATGGCCAGATATCCACTTTAAGGATTTTTCTACCAGAGGGCAGAATTCATGGGATCTACCAATTACTAAAAATTGTTTTGGTCCTGAAACAGCAGATTAGAACCAATTTTATGTTTAGAATCAGATTTCAACAAAGCTTGGCTGTTTTAAATTTGTATGTTTTAGACTGTGAACCATGTGATCCAATTTGAGAGGAATCCTTTATCTTCTTTTCTGTCCTATTTCATTTCATTGCATTAAAGCAGGAAAAAGACCAAGAGGCATAAAGGTCCTCATCAACAAATTCATGCAGCAGAAATCCCAATGATCAACCTTTAATTTAATAATAAAGAAAACATCTAATATTGCAATAATTTCCATAATGAGCACATTGCTTTATGGTGGAGAAACATGTCCAACACAGGATCCAGGAGAGAGCAAGAGCTATGAGTTAGAAAATCATAAAGGTGTGACAAAGACATGAGAAAAATGCCCTCAGTTTAAAATGTGCAAAAGAAGGAAATGCATGTACAACACATGGAATTGTATTCAAAATGGTCTTTTTTTATTGTATACTGTTCATGACAGACACCACCTTCTTCTCTGTATGGTACCTACTTGCACACTGGTGAGTTTCCCATCTGGCTGCTCGGTGAAGCAGGCAGTAGCAACACAGCGACCGCAGCAACTGTCTCCATCCTTCTGCGTTGTGTATCCCTTGCAAAATATAATGGGGATTTTTAATTGTTAGCAGGTACATAGAGAGACATCACAGGGCAAATATGGTGAATGTTTAAAATGAAAGATTTCTAAATCATTTTCTGATTAAGGAACATCATCTGAGTGAAGCATAACCATTTTGAGGACGGCCTCTGTTTGATGATGAGCAGAGAGGAAATGTCAGAGCCTAAGAGCTCCTATTCTAAAAGCATTGGTGCTTTGAGTTTATTAATAAGTTATAGAGAGGACGGGAAAGAGTGCTGGTCAAGATGGAAAATGATGATGTAACAAGTTACCCTGGGGCATGATGGACAGGTAGTTCTCTTGCAGGATAGTTTGTATTTCTTCACTGCTCCGTCCTGCACTGTGCACTCACAGTGCGTGCACACATCCACCATCATTCTCTCACCTGCCTGCATAAACACACAAATACAGTATCTAAAACCAGATAAAAGAAAGCAATATCCACATTTTATTGGTGTGCTGAGCTCAGTGCTACTTTTTGGATGACGTACCCCTATTACAGTGTGATTGAGAACACAGACATCCATCGGCGCTGTGGAGAGAAGAGATCAAATATTTTTTTCATTTCAATTGATTTAATGATCTTTCAAACTCTCTGATCTTGCAAGAAATCTGAGTTACCTGGCTTGGCCTTTAAAAGCCATTTAATGGGTCAAATCAGGACAAGCGTCATAAAGATCTCAGCGATAAAACAGAGACATCTGCTGGACACTTTGTGCAACTACAATTTAATCGGGTAATATGCAATATTGTAATACAGTGTCTGCAAATCACACTACTGGCTGGGCTGAAATTATTTAAAAAGCAACACATTATGCTCCTATAAAATGATTTTAAAGATCCAATAAGAAAATCCATCGCTGTAGAAATGTCAAACTTCCAAAGTACCACAAAGTGAATGGAGGGTCATCATGCAAAATGAAGAAAACAGTAAACAATGATTAACACGCCCACCAAAATCACTCCTAGAGTGCATCAATGACCTTTCTAGAGGGTGATAAAGCACTACAGGCTTCATTTGCATCAGCTGAGGTCTGTTTAGTTGATAAGATAGAGTCTAGATAAAAACTGCTGCTATAGAAGAGATGTAAGGCCAAAAACCATGCCCATTGAGAAAACAAAACAAAACAAAAAATCAGATTTGCATTTACCAATTATGGGAGAAATATCTTGACAATACTAAGGTAAACATTATTTTATATCCAGTCTACAACTAACATGATTCAAAAAACAAGGACATTACAGTCAGTCAAACATGTTTGTCTGATGGTCTGGGGTTTATTGGTTACTGTGGGAGCTAGATACTTTGGAATATTTGTTAGAGCCATAAAATCAGGTTTTTCTTAAAAAATCCTAAGGAGATGTCAGGTTATGAATCAGGATTGTTAGCTAAAGCATTTTTGTGGTATGATTCAGGAAAATGATAAAAAGTACAACAGCACGTCTATCTTTCAATGGCTCAAAAACAAAAAATAAAAGGCTTGATAGTGTCTTTGTCAAAGTCTGGACTTAAATCCTGTTAAAAGGCTGTGAAAAGACTTTAAACAGTTGGTTTAAGATTTGAGCCTCATCCAGTGTGTTAAATTTAAATAACACTCCAAAGAAGAGTGGGCAACAATGTGTCACCAAAGTAAAGCAACAGACTCATTGCCAGTTATCATAATTTCTTGGTGGCCAATGTAGCTGCCAAGGTTTGCAAAAGCAGTTTTGGCATTTTAACGGGAACTACTTTAAAACCTAAGATGAAACATGAGACCTTAAGGAGTTTTTAGCCTTTTTCAGACCTCATGAAATTCTTGTTTACAACAATACATGAGCTTGATGCACCTTTTATGGACTGATTAGTGTCAAGTTATGTTTTCCTGCTGATATTTTCCTGTTTGTACCCCAGCATGTGTCAACTGTATGTGAGTATGTGTTTACCACAGTGACAGCGGGGGCAGCAGTCCTGAGTGTCACAGCGAAGCTCACTTCCCAGTGGGCAGTTTGGAGTCTCCATGCTGTCACAGCTGACATTTGTCGTAGAGATGAACACCTCCTCATTCACTTTCTTACACTCATGTTCCACACATTTATTATGTACAGACAGCCACCTTTCCCCTACCTAAACACAAAGATGGACAAAGTGACTCAACAAAATCTAATACAAATGTGTATTACTTTGTTGTATTTTTGTGGGGCTTAAACACAGAAGCAAAGTTGAAAAAACAAACAAATAAAAAATAGTTTGTTAATATACCTGTCTGAGCTTTCCTCCAATGACTGCATCCCCTCTCATATCTCCCTCAGTCACTAAACAGCTAGTTGGTTTACATTCTCCACAGCAATTCCCTTTTCTTTGAGTGTATGACGAGCCCTGCAATTATTCAAAGGATATGTGAGAAAAATGGCATTGACTGCATATTTTTACATTTAATGATGCCTCACCAAAGGACAGCTGCGATTGCAGACTGGCGGGCTGCACTGAGCAACATGAAGCAAGGTGTCTCTGTCCTGCATCTCTGTGCATCGACACTTCTCGCATCGGTCCTCCCACTCACTGCCCACGGGGTGAACCACTCCACCAACCACACACACCTGGAGATACACGTTGGTTAAACAGAAAATGAATCCACTAAAATATGCAGAAATGCTGCAATTAGAAGGCTTACCTTATCAGGTTGGCAGAGGATTTCTGTGCAGCCGCAGTCATTGGTAAAGGATGATGTGACAAAGCCGGTGGGACAGGTGTGGGTGGAGTTCTGGCAGTTACATGTACATTCAAAGGAATCACAGCATGTGGTCTTTTTGACAGACAGCTGGCGATGGGCTGGACATTTATGGGGAGCTTGTTCTGGACACTCTTCCTTTTTGCACACTGGGACAATAAAAACAATTTACATACAGAGAAAATAGGAAAAAAAAAAAAAAAAAAAAAGCATCATATTTGTTATGCTGGGGTGTATCCTGCAAGGGAGACCGTGAGCCTACCGCAGTCGTGAACAGGCTGGCATTCACCAGGGTTTCTCAGCACCAAAGTTTGACCATCCTCACAGCGAGGGACCTCTGGCAGATTACAGCTCACCAGATCGCACACTAAGGTTACAGGTGAAAGGGAGAGTAAGCAGTGAAGACATCAAGGAAAGAAAGATCATGTAAGAAAAATAAATCAGGGATCATAAATCTTCTCTTTCCTTCTTAGCAAGACATGGTAAATACTCCAAAATCTGTACAATTACAGACTGTGTATGAATCTTGTTGTTTATTTTACTTATTTTCAAACTTTATTATTCAAACCAAGCTGATACATTGCAAAATATATATATATTTTTTCTAAAAATAAGTTAAAACTCTTATTCTATTGGCAGATCATCTTATTAATCTACTCAGTTAATGGTAATACACTTTTTGAAAGAAAATGTTACAAATTTTTAGACAGTTTTTGCAGTGTTTAATCATTTATTATCTTTTGGTACAACTGTAAAGAGAAGCCAGAGCTATTTATGGAGTTTTTCCTTTCATAATTAATTCATCATTAAGCATTAATTAATTATCTTCAAAATCCTTTTAACTCTTTAAACACCTCACACATTTTAAATCAAGTAGACTGGGATGTTTAAGGAATCAATTTCTGTCCTCAAGATAGAAGTCTGTTCTTCATCTCTAGTTCGGTAACATTACATCCCAGAAAAATAACATTTCAGTAATATTTTTAGAAACATAAATATTTTTACACCTACCGCACTCGTATTCTGGGCAGCACTTTGAGTCCTTCCTCTCCTGCAGGATTTCACAGGCTCCACACACTGGAGCTAAAAACATCCAATAAACAAAATCTAAAAGCTGACAGTGGTTTTATGGCTGGAAAAGCAAGTAAAGCTAAAGTAGATTAAAAACCTCTTATGTCGTTGCATGGTCTGGCAGTGCAGTTGATCCGTTGCTGGTCCAAACACATGCAAATCAAGCATGGGTTGTCATCTGGCACCCAACTCTGCATATGCTGTTCAAATAGAGGGAAACACTGTTTCCTTTCCACTCAGTAATAGCCACCAGAGGGCAGTAGGATCACACATCTATTGCAACACTACCCCACTATCTAGGGCTGCAAAATATTAGTTAAATATACTCTTACAATAATATATACTTATACTTTGTGGATATGGCATTAACTAGAAATCAACATTTTTGTCAGCCATCTTTTTTTACATTTCCCCACCTCTCTCCTTAGAGCTTTAGGGAAGAAAGACAGTGTCTCCATCCAACTGGGCAATGTTGTTTTTTCCAAACCTATGTATGAATCCTTGGCAAAGTGTAGCTCTACAATATTTATAATATTGTATTCTTTAAGGGATTTCTTTTTATGACACTCTTGCTGCATTTCTCACCGCGTATGTGTGCCCTTGATGATCCACACACTGTCCACATGATTCTGGGGGGACACATTTTCCATGATGCAAAACTGTCCCTCCAGCGCAGAAACAGCCTTCAGTGGGCGTCTCCATACATGATGACTCGTTGCCGCCAGTAACTGACCAGTCACCTGGCAATGCCTGTAGGCTGCCACAGTCCTCCACGCAGCCAGTCCGACATGCATCATACTCCATAGAATCTGAACAATGCAGTGCTGCACCACAGAAGGAGACAGTTAGGGGCACGCTGCAGGAGTTAAGAGGTTTGCAATAAACTCAAGGATGTGCAAGGAGACTTACGGCAAAGATGGGGGCTCCTCCAATCGACACACACACCGCTTTGTCTACAGAGGCGTGCATATGCCGATATTATCTCACACACATCTGACTCATCACAGGCTTGCTCTTCACACTTAATGAGGAAAACCTGAACAGCAATTAAGGCGTGGCATTTTTCAAACACCTCAGAGCGTAAGGCCTGACATCCCATCGCCACTCCAGACACGCATACTGCCTTCCGTTTGGGCAAACACACACCACCATCTGCAGCAACAGTCCAGTCTGAGATGAAGGCCGGCTGGTTGGTGGTTGTGTTGCCGTTACGCAAAGACAGGACATTAACCTTTGCCTCCCCACATGCACCTATGAGAAAGGTATAGAGAACACAGCTCAACAGAAAAACGGCTAAAGCAAAAAGGGACAGGTAGAGAAAGTTTTCACTGCCAATTATTAGCATAAAGCTGTGAGCAAATGGCTCTCCTGTTCTGTTACCACAGAGTCCAGCAGTTTGCCGGCCGGTTTCCGAGCTGAGAAACGTGATGGTAAACTCATTGCTCTGAGGGGTAAAAGTCAAAACGTAGCCATGATCTGATTTCAGCTGCAGCATCACTCCTCCATAGCGCACCACTTCCAGGCCTGCATGTCTCCAAGGCAAGGAGAGTTCTTCTCGATCGATCATAGCCTGTTTGGGGAAAGGGAAAATTAGAACTATTGTAAATAGGGCGAACTTTAGACTTAGACAAACTTTATTGTCATTTTGTATACAGAGAGTGTATACTAAACAAAATTATGATGCATACAGCTTTCCAACAGTGAATGAGCAACTTAGCAGTGAAATTAACATTTCCATTTATAGAGCGCAGCAGAGATCAAAATGTAAAATGTGTAAGGGAAAAGGAAAACCAGTTTAAAGACATGGTGCAAAAGGCATTGATATGGAAGGATCAGAGCAGGGCAAAATAAATAAATAAATATGGTGCAAAATGCAGTAGAACACTGAGTTGAGTTCTCTTTAAAGGGATTTAAGTTTAAGTTAAAGTTTAAGTTAACATTTAAGTTAAAGTGGAAAGAAACTTATGTTAGTCAAAAAGTGTGTAAATTATTCTGTATATAGTTTTCCTGTAAGGGCCTCAGAAGAACAAGGAACATAACAGAAGTTCAGATCTATAATAGAGTTAAAACAATTTCTCTGGCTTTGAAAATTCTCTGTGAAATTTATGAGACATTTTTATCTAGCCAGACTGGGAAAGTGGAGCATCAATTAAAGAAATAGTCAAAAGGCATGGTAACTCTGAATTAGGTGCAGACATCTACAGCACATGTGAAAGGATCTGTTTATGGGACGACTACTGGCAGGTGTTCCAGAAATCTCAATTTTATTACAGGAGACATTTTGTTATTTCAATCAGCAGGGACAGTTATCCTTAGAATGTTTTACAAAATAAAAAATAGACAGAGCTAAAGGGATGTATCTTTTTCCATACTATATACATGATTTAGATTTCTTTATTACTCTTTTTTTGATACATTTCAATCTATATAAAACTAATCAAAGTCTGTTGTTTTGATATTAGAAAAATTAAAAAAAAAATTGCATCCAGCTGTAACTATCTATTTCAACCACTTATAGAGATTACCGTAACGTCTTCCTTCAGCAGCAGTGTGTATGATCCATGGGTCACCTCCATGGCTTTCATGCAGATCTGGCTGTATTTCGTTGAGTCTTGACAAGGTCCAGTGTGAAGTTTGACCTCTGAGCCTTTTCCGTCGCCTTTACTGACTGTGAGAAGTGTGTAGGAACACAGTCCCTCTCCATCCAGCTTTAGAGCCACCCCATCAAACCGCACCACATGGTTGGTGGAGCTGCCCATACACATGCCTGTCATGAACACAAGGCAAAAAGCCAGGAGTCAGATACATGGCTCATTAATGTTCTGGGATGATTGATCTAATTAAATAATTATTTGCAGGTTGGAACTGTTGTCCTTGATTTAATAAAGAGAGGCTAATTGTCACAGCTAAACTTAATTACTACACATACAAGGACATTCCCAGCGGCAGCCACAGGTCTCCTCCACTCTGACAGGGGGCATGCTGTTTTTACATGCTGGTGGATCTAGTCTTTCACAGCTGATTTTGTGATTCTGAACGGTCACTGCTCCACTGGGGTGGCACAAGAGGGAGTGGCAACCATCGTCCATCAGCCACGATTCACCAGGCTGGAAAAACACATCATGAATTATAGCAACTATTTCAAGTAAATTACATTTGGTTTTTAAATGCAGCAATATTGCAAACCTTTCTCTCATTTCCGTTGTCATCTACACACACTCCTGGTGGACCCGCTTAAAAAAAAAGCACATACTTTTATTTCCGTCGATATTTAGTATTCTATGGGGACCTGTTCAGTAGGTACCTCTGCAGATTCTCTCTGTGTAGCTGTTGTCCAGATTTAAAAACATCCGTAGCTGGTCCATGTTGTTTAGATGAAGAGTATTGTCTTGGTTGCCGTAGTGACCGAGAACCCTAAGCTCATTGCTGTCATAGTTCGATCCAACGCCAATAGGGAACACTGACACACCTAAGAGAACATACCTTTAGCAGTCAGACACTGTCAGGTCAAAGCATTTGAACAGTTTTTGATAGTAACCCATTTACCTGCTGCCAGGGCCTCATTGGCTGCCTTTCTAACATCATCCGTGGATTTTTCTGTCACCACCATTACAATAACTTTGGGGACACCCACTCTACCACCACTGACAGATGAGATGGATGTCTGCACAGCAAACTTTACGGCGGAACCTGAGGATAAAATAAATGGTAAGTGAACATCCAGCATGGTCTGTGTGCAGGTTGGGTAACTGTTTACTACCTAAAGCAGGGGCTGAAGGGGATCTGTTTGGGATGTCTTCCACCAGCATTAGGAGGTCTGACTTGCTTTGATGTTTGTTCCACAACAACTCAGCTGTGTTAGTGGCTCCAAACTGAATCAAGCCCACCTGAGTGCCACTTGGCCCTGTGTATATGAAAGAAAAATTCAATATTTACATAACTACACTTTTATTTTGGCTCAGGTGCAGTGCAATTTGTCTTGAGAGTAAAAACTTTCAGGAAAAACTTGAAAATACTCAGTCGTGATTAAAAAAAAAAAGCAGGAGAAATTAGGATTTAGATTCAGAAAAACCCTACTGTAATGTTAGTTAAGATACCCATATCTTTATAATCCCTATTTTAATTTTAAAGTTTTAATTATTGATAATAATATTATGATAATAATAATATTTTTGTTAATCATATTATTATCACAAATCAAATATTATATAAGTCCAACAACTGTAATACAAATAATATAAAAAAATATATAAATATTTATTATTAGCAATATAATATATTAGCACTGTATGTTTAAAAAAAAATCAAATCCTGTGCTTAAGCTTTATTTAAATCTGACTGAGAAATTATACATATTGAAGAACACAGTTAAAAAAGTAAATTGAGTATTTACATATCTAGAATAGAAGAATAGTATTCAACTTAATTGTCATTACACTGTCGCAAGTACAAAGAAACGAAATTCACTCTCTGCATTTAACCCATACCTTTCGGGAGCAGTGGGCTGCCATTGGGCAACGCCTGGGGAACAATGTGGGGTTTAAGGGTCTTTGCTCAGAGAGCCAGAGTATCAGTCCATGGGAGTTAGGCTTGAACTTAGAACCTCTGGGATCCAAGCGCTATGCCCTGACCACTAAGCTGCCAATCCCATATCTGTTAACAAAGCTACAATTTTATGCTGTTTGGAAATCCGTGCTGCACAGGGGAACAACTTGTGGCAAAATGGTCCTGAATTGGATTTCCGACCTAGTGTCTTTCAGCAATAGCGTTTGCATGTTCTCCCTGTGCTTGCGTGGGTTCTCTCTGGGTACTCTAGTTTCTTTACAGATAAGTTGTTGTCTCTAAATTACACTTAGGTGTACTAAATGTTTCTAAGACAAGCTTTGATAATAATAAAGAAAACAGTTACCAGGGTACATAAAACAGATGTGTTACACCTACCTATGTCAGCATTGCCAATGAAAGTTTTTACAAATGTCTTCATGTCCTCAAACTGGTCTCCGGCCTTTAGCAGGAACATCACATCAACAGGCTTCTTGCATGGCACTGTGTAATGATAGATCTTAATATTAGTATATGCTATGGACTCATTCTTCAAAGATAATTAACAGCTGGTCAGTTTATGAAGCCAAAAACTACCTGAGAGTGGGAGAGTTGGGTGAGTTGGGAAGATGAGGGGTGGCAGCGTAGGAGAGCGGGGCATGACTGTGGTCCTTGTGATGTTGACCACGCGTTGGACCAGTGATGTCAGATGGTTGTAGTCCTCCACCATCATCGGATGCTGAGGGTGGCTAAACGGTACCAAGTCTGTTTCATGCACCTTTGGTCCAACACCTATTGGATACACGCGTGTTTGACTGCTTGTTGTTGGTGGGCGTGTCACTGTATCAGTAGGGGGATTTTCAGTCACAAGAAAGACGAGCTGAGGAGGGGCAGGGCCATGAACAGGATGGACTGTTGCCATTTCCTGAAGAGTCATGGCAACAGCCGCTCCGGTGTTTGTCTTGCTTCCCCCTCTCCAACGGATCTCTCGCAGTCGCTGCCGTAGGTGTTCTCTCTGCTGCCTCAGCTCCCAGCGACTGATCTCCACAGTGAATGTTACAGAATACTGGATCACAGTGATGCGGATAAGCTCTTCCTTTTCTGTCAGTTGAGAGACGACTTCCTCCAGGAAGATAAGTGACTTGTTAAAGTTAGCCTCCCCAACATCATCAGAGCCTTCGAGGATAAAAGTCACGTCTGTGGCTGGAGGTTGGTATGATGGTATTGTGGTGATGGAAGAAAGGCCAGAGGGTGCAGTGGAGGCAGGAGTGCCAGGTAGATGCTTTGTGGGAGTTGTATGCCCACTTGGGGAGGTGGTGGGTGAGGCCTTTCGGGTTTTACCCGGTGTAGGCTTTGGTTTTGGCCCCTCAGGCTCCAGTCCTAAGGTGCAAAGGTAATCTGTTACCTCCAACAGACGGTCAGGCAGCTCACCTGTACTGCTCAGCACATACGCCCTATTATCTGGGTTGGCCTTGGTGATGTCATTGATCTGCCCCATGTTGACACCAGGACCAAGCGCTACTGTCAAGGTGGTGATGGCCTTTTTACGGAGCATCTTTACGATGGCACGAACAGGGCGAGGGTTACCACTGGCAGTCAGGATAATAGCTACACGACCAGCATGCTCACGCTTGTTCTTATCATAGATATTGATGGCTAGATATTTGACAGCTTCATCCAAGAAGGCTGCATCTCCCCCTGTGTAATGAAGCTCCCGCACAGTCTTCTTAAAGAGCCATTTCTGAACCTGCAGGTAATAAAAAGCCCAAGAAACAAGACAGATAGAGTCAAGAGATCAGCTTAATTGTGGAATATATTCAAGATGCCTTTCAATTAATTAGGAAAACTATATAAGCATTCAACAGGTGAGCTCTTTATATTCAAAAATATTTCTTTCAAAAAGAATTTATTAATCCCAAAGGAAATTTTATTTCATAATACAGAAGACAAAGTGATTTCTAACATTATTTCTTTTCATTTACTACAAATCCTATAGGATCCTATACCTGAAATATTATTCTAAGTATCTATGTTAATGCATTTTAAAGTACAAGCCCTCACTCATGGATGGGGTTACTTTTGCATTAATTTCCAAATTTCTATGCGGCATAGCATGGAGGAAATCTGCCTGTTTCCTGCTAAAGTATTTAAAAAAAGCTTAATTTACTTTGATAGTGATCTCAACTTTTAGAAGTATGTGCAGGAATAAAACCAGACTTCCCTTAAAGTTTGTCAGCATAGGAAGCCCAAAGTGCTCTAAAATGTCCTGAAGGTGGTTTATGAAAGCACACCTGACCAACACCAGCAAATGAAATGACTTTAAAAATATTACTGACTACAGAAACATCTCACAGGGCCTGAATATTGGGCTTTGTTACTCCACTCTGCATCCAGACATTAGTCCGTTGCATTTCAGATAAAAACTATTAACTTCCCTAAATATGAAAATATGACTCTGGACCACTATGCAACAGTCCCGTCATTTCTTTCTAGTTAAGATTAGATGCTTCTGATGTCTGTGATTTAAGAGTGAAGCAACAGCTATAGCCCATTTGTTCTCAATTATGTGTTTACATACAGCCCTCTGAACAAACAGCTTCAATAGCAGGGACTGCGGTCTAGCAGTCTTCTTTATGGTTACATAGGCCATTACATAACATTGCTATTCTATCAATCACTTTTAATTTGTCCGATGTAAAATTCAAACTGACATCTTAGTCTAATTTGGTTTTTTTTATCAGCTTTAAGCCTTAAACATTGACAGAAAAACATGCTTGAAGTACAATACATCTGCATCTGTTCAAAACTCCTGATGAATAAAATCTTTCCTATTATCTTAAGTAATTTAGATGCATCTGTATTAGTTTGCAAAAAATAAGTTTTTAGTGGTAGAAGTTAAACTAATTTGAACACTACCGTCTTTTGACAGTTTTCCATGTTTTGATTACGAGTTCATCTTTTACCCAGTTAAATCTGTCAATATCTGTAACAAGTATGCTATTTCTGCGATATTTTCTTCCATTGTGCTTATTATACTGCTAGTTCATTGGTGTATTCTGCTTTGATTTCAGATATTTTAGCACTCCTCTGCTTTAGTTCCCATTTTTGCTATTTAGAATTTTATTTTATTTCTGCTACATCGTGCTCTTCAAATTATTCTTTGTTTCCCCCTCTTTAGTAGCTTCTAATAAAGTTGCTCAAATCCCCCAAATTACATCACACCAGAAATCTTTTTTTGGTAATAATTAGATTTTTTTATGCCTAAGGACCATAGACATTGAGCTATTCAGGCTACACATGGTTAGTATCTACTACAGTACCTGCAGGTCATATGTTTTAACTCCAGAGTGGTAAAGCAACACTGTGGCTCTAGTGTGAGCCGAGCCCATGCGGAAACGTTCAATCACTCCAAGTATGAACTCCTTAGTGGCCTTATATTCATCTTCACTCAGTGCTTGTGAACCATCCAATAAGAAAGCCAGATCCATTGCCCGATCACAAGTGCCCTCGGGCATCAAGGTGGTGAAAGGCAATGTGGTGAAGGTGCTGTAACTCGGTGTCGGTGTGGGAGTGGACAACATGCCGCAATCTTCACAGCTGAGATTGTTGTTCTCACAGTGGCTTTTGTAAGAAAAAAGGCATTTAGTTTAAACCTAGTTACACATTTCAATTAAATATAAGAAAAATATTCCATAACACCTGTGTATTTTGAGCATTACCATATCTTGCAGTTGGTGAGGTCATCACGGTTCAGGATGACCTTGTTCCCATGAGATATCCTCTGGCCCTCGTGGATACACACCTGACACTGAGAAGGATCCACGCATCGCATATCCACCTCATCCAGAAGTTGACCTAAACACATCAAGTATAAATTGCTATTAAAACTATGTTTACATTTATTTGAAAATGCATTAAGTTCAGCATAAATTGATTCATTATTTAACAACTGTATGTCATGTCTTGGCACCTGGAGGGCAGTAAGCATGACAGCCTTCCACACATGTCAGTGAACAGTGGAGGCGGTCTGGGTGTTGACAGGTGATGGGACATGCAGGTCCACAGGTGTTATATCTCCACTGGCACAACTCCTCCCCTGTACCTTGGATCTTAGGGTTAAGTTCCTCACAGCTCATAGCTAGGAGTTAATGAAAAACAAACAAAACTCAAATTTAGTCGAATCATTAAATACAGGATTAATGCTAACTTTAATATCTTTTTCCATTTAAATTGAGTAATCATCAGAAGAACAAAACCTGTAAATTGTACTGAAGAGTTGTGTTAATGTAGACAACTGAGATAAAATGCAGAAGAAAGAAAAAGCATACAGAACAAAGAAAAGAGAAAGACAACAGAGCAACACGTTGAGTTTTCTGAGTTGTTTTTTTCTCAGCTTTTTAAAATCTCTTGACACGTATTGATTCTGAAAAATTGAAGATACACATTAGTTCAGCTTTATCACTTACGACAAAGATCATTGGATCTCCACATGACAGAGACTCCCTTCTCTGAGCAAGCCTGTGCATAAGCTGCAATGACATCACAGAAACATGCGCAGTCCCCCACAGATGAGCATGAGCATGCAGCCTCCACACACATATCTACATACGGTTCTGCATCCACCTGGAAACAAGAAAATAAAACCTTAGAGGGAAATTTATTTAATGGAAAACTTTGGAGCTATCAGTTTTACGAACCTGGCTGTTGCATTCTTTGAAGAGGGGACCAGTTATCACACGACATGACTGCTCCACTGTAACCAACTTTGCAGTGTTGTCACTACAAGGAGCTAGTATCTGGGCAACCAAAAGAAAAGGCAGACATCAGCAGCGTGTCTTGCTTAGTTTGTTTGTGGTCTAAGTTTTGGAGTTTTGCAATCCAACATGGTTGGGAGCAAAATATAGTGTGCATGTGAGTTTAAGACCACAACCTCGGTTACATCAGCACAGCTGGGGATGACCTTCCAGGAGTTGCCAAAGTGTGAGGCGTCCACCTCTAGCTTGTTGTTGCTGCTCATCATATCATTGTTGACATTCCCATCAAAGTTCCCACACAGACCGCAAACACGATCCTTTACATCATAAAGAAACCATGACAAAAGAAAACATTATTTACATACATATAAGTGTAATAAAATGTTTTAACTGGATTTAGACTAAAGCAGTACCCTGTAGGAGGCTGAGATATGAACAAGGAGCCGAGTTCCTCTGTCCCAGCTGAGGGAGATGTGGTTGCCCAACATAACTGTGTAAAATTGACCAGATCTGACTATCTCCACCTGGGAATTCTGCAGCACAGGCCTCTTCATCTTCACCTGGACGGAACATAAAGGATGATCAGAGGTCATATCTGAAGCATTTTGGCCTGGATCAACTCAAAGGGTTAGAGTCAATTGGAATATAACGAAATTATATAATAAATGTAATAAAATGTAACCCAAATTATAAGAAAGCATATGGTTTTAAACACTGCAAGGTTTGTGTGACTGGATGTGCAAAGCCTTACAAAAGTGTTTGTAGCCTTTAGACATTTCTGACTTTAAAAACATATTTGTCATAAAGAGATGTGTTATGATAGACTAACATACAATGACACATGACTGTGTCATGAAAATAAAAAGGAATATATGGTACAGGACATGGAAGGAGACCATCGATCAGAGCGGCATCCAAGAGACTACAGTAGACTTATCGCTGGAGGTAATTTCAACAGCTCATGTGGCAACTATTTCTTGGTGCACTCCCTAATGTCTGCCTTTATGGAAGAGGGGCACAAAGCCAGAAATATCTTAAATAATGCCATAAGAAGGAGCACTGGTATAATTAAACCAAAATGGATCATTTTAGGCTTACAAGCCAAACACAATATGTGACTAGAAGACACATCAACCTGAACACACCATCTGCACAGACAGAAATGGTGGTAAAATCATGCTCCGTGTCTTTTCCAAGTAAATATAAACAACTACCCTGGGCTATTGAAGGTGGCTTAGTTTAGAAGTGTCAAACTGCAGTTCAAGAGGGTGGTTTCCTATACGTTTTAGATGCAAGCCAGGTCTAACACAACTAAATCAAAGGGGGAATTTACTCCTCAGCAAGTCCTACTTGTGCTATTGGAGTAAATAAATTCTAGTCCTTAATGGGAATAGACCCAACACCTTTCAGATTTTCACATGTTTAACAACAAAAAAAAAAAACAAAAAAACATTGAAAATTGTGAATAATTTCCTGGAAAATTTATAACCAGCCACTTTTGGCTCTATCATATTTGATCTTAAATATGGGACATTAAAGGGAGTGGATGTGATGCAATAAAATGTGAAAGGCTTATCGAGTCTGAATACTTTTAGAAGGCACTGTGTAAGATATAAACTTCAGCTTACAACAAAAAAATTAAATTATATTTGATTTGATTCATATTTCAAGAAAGAATTAACTGAAGAATTATTTAAAACACATTTAATTTCCCATTTTTAGGGTTACAGATACACCTCAAAAAAAGCATTACACACGTGAGGACACCTGGTTTTGCTCGTACGCTTGTGTGTTACCTTTCCATCCTGCATTACAATCAGGCCACCCTGGTAGAAGATTTTGACGGTTTTCGCACATCGATGTCCTACAATTCCACATGCTTCATTCTCCACCAGCACTCTGAAGGAACCTCCTTCTGCGTTACACATATCCTTTCAAATGGAATAGTAGAGAAATACAAAGGCAAATTATCAATATATATATTTACTCAGGGCCATTTTATTCTGCAATCTGGACTGAGACTCTCTGTAGATGTGTTTATTTTCTACCTGGACCAGGACATATTGGCATAGGCCGGGGAAGGAGTACTTGAGGCCATCAAAGGTGATGTAATGCCCCTCCCCCACAGTGCGGCATACCCCATCGCACAGCTTTTGTGTGCAGCGCCACTTCCGGTTTTCACACACGCTGCAAAATAAAGACACATGTCAAGAAAACCCTGATTTAGCCTTTTCTATGTACCTTGTATGTAAACTATACATTATATATACTATTTACCATGTGTTGCAGTCAACGGTGATGCTCCGTCCTGGTGCGTACGGTCTGTTGTTATGGTAACAGGGACACTGCTCTGGTGGGATGCAATCTCTGCGGTGGCGTACCTGAAATCAATTCACCAATCGATCTCAATGCTTCATTTCTTTTGGGTGTTTAACAACAATAAAGCAAAGACACCACTTACTGTGCCTTGTGGACATAGGCAGCCAGGGATGCAGGAAAGACTGACGCATGGCAGGTCCAGATTCTGGCAAGTTCTGGCACACTCTAGCCCCCTTTCACCTGAATTACACTTCGCATCAACTAGTGGAGGATAGCACTGGGCTGACCGCCGCACTGCAAAGAAGATTTTGTAGATTTGTCTGGATAATTAAGGGATCTTGCACAGTTGTATAAACTTGAGAAGGGAAAAAAATTGTGAGTCTAAAGAAGGAAAAAAAAACAGAAAGACTTGAGGATTATACCTCTGGATGGCACCACGTCATCATCATAGAAGAAGTCAGAAAGAAATGATGTCATCTCTGTGGAGCTGCAACGCATAGCTCCATTCTCACAGGAGCTACAAGGACAAAAAATAAAGGCCCATGACAATAATGCAATTTACCCTTGAATCCTATCAATTGTCTGCATTTGAGGTTGGAGTCACATACCAAATGCTGTTGTGATCTGCATAGACATCACTAGGCTGGTACAGCTGTCCATCGTGCAAGCAGGGGCACATGTCAGCAGTCACACACTCTCCAGAGGTGCTCAAGTATTTTCCAGCCGTACAGAAACAGCCCTCCTCACACACCCTCTCCCCCTCACAGCCAGACTCAGCACCAGAGAGGGAGCGGCACGTTCGCTCACATGCACTCCCACAGGCTTCATACACCTGGCCTACAGGGCACTCCATCTCTGAGAACATCATATCAGATTAGAATTTTACATATATTTTCATTTCATTTATATTTCTTACACACAGTAGCTTTAACTGTGAAAATACCATACTTATTTTTTTGTTTTTTGTTGGTTGATGTAACAATTGTCCAGGGCTATATGCAAATACAGACAGATGGTCTTTGTTAAAATATCTATTTCTTGTATGTAAAGATCTGAACTGAAGTTCAGGTAGTCTGAGCAATTTTGAATGTTCAATATGCTTTTACTTCTTTTTTGATGTACAGAATCAGTTCATTTTATTTTGTCTCTCTGTCATAGATCTGAAAACTGTTTTAGCCTTAGATAAAACACACAGCTTTTCGTTACAGCAAAGTAAAGGATTGTACATCAGTGATAAGATGCATCTTAGCAGTAGTATTTGCTCATAGAAAATTACATTTATGCAAATAAAATAAGTGGTCAAATACACTACGATATTTTGCGGGGTGTTTGACTTTTAATAATTCAAGAACAGTAACTGACTTATGAAAAGCATCGTTTAATTTTCATGACAAAAAAATTTCAAAGTTAAACTTTGGGTTTAAAAATGTAGGCACAGCCCACAATGACTGTTCATTGTAAACATTAAATTAAATGTGTATCTTGGTCATGTTTCAATATAAAGATGTAACTGAGTTCAAAATGAAAGGTACCACAGAGTGAAGGGGATCTCCAGTTGAGCAGAACTCCTCTTGCAGAGCAGGTAGCTGCATAAGCAGACAGAGCAGAGCAGAGGCACTGCTCACTGTCTTCACAGGCGCATACATCATACCGGCAAAACCTCTGGAATGGAGCAGGATTCACCAAAAAATGGCATGGGCTGAACATGTCTGACATGATCACTGCACACGCCTCTTCTGCAAAACGCACTGAAAGAGCCAGATAAAGATAATGTTGACATTTATTATTTTTAACAGATTGCAATTCAATGGGTGTGCAGACGATACCTCTTTTTGGGTTTGTTGCACATGGATCAGGGTCATACTTGTGAGTAGATTCACAGTCTCCATTGATCCTCCATGCCTGCCCAAAAGCCTGAGGACTTGCTTCAACCAGCCCAGAACCAGACAAGAAATCATCACCATGGTTCCCATTGTAGTTCCCGCAGAGACCACAGGTCTGTCCAGCCCATCGTGGTCCTAGCTGGAAAAGGCATTCAACGTTTAGTACCACCGGTTGCTTAGTACTCTGCATCAGTATTAGCACCAAAAACATTCGTATTCAAACCTTCAGAAGAACACGACCCCGACCGTCCCAGTCCAGACGGAGGTCATCACTGAACTTCACTCGAACAGAAGACTGAACTGATCTCGTAATATGCAGGTGGCCTGAAAGGGATTCATTAAGAAATAATGTAGACATCTTTTGAATTGAAAGATATTTCAATTAACGGTTCCACGGTGAGAAAATCCCTGCATAACTGGACCATTGTTCTTGGCTAATAAGTTATAAATATAACATGAAACAACCTACAACTGTCAAAAAAGCTTTTACATACAGTATATATATATATATATATATATATATATATATATATATATATATATATATATATATATGAGCATGCATAAGAACATTTTCATTCTATGCCTTTTTTTTATGTCTCTTTGCACCCACAGTTGGCCTCAGCAGAAGGCTGCTCACACTTAGCCTGGTTCTGCTGGAGGTGTCTTCCTGTCACTGCATGCATGCTCAGTATGACGGATTGCTTTGGAGTCGATGACAATGCAAGAGAGTTTCTACTGTTGCCACATACTCATCCAGAAGGAGAATGTCCTGCAAAGTCAATGACTCGATGACTCAGCTGGGTTTGTTTATTGGAAAATATTTAACCAGTCAGACTTTATGATTCAACTGAATTGTGTCTGTAAAGTACCTTGAGTATGCATCTTGTTTGGAATTTGCACAGTGTGTAAGTGTGAATTGAACCACATTTATCCAAAAGAATGGATTCAATTTTAAAATCCCAATAGGAATTGGAATATGTCCTAACCTGTAGAATCAGACAGTCATTTAACCAGACCCTGACTGACAAAGTATTAGGGAAATATCTTCAAAAGGGTTCCAACAAAGAAGAACACATTTACGAAAATACATCTTAACATTAAAAACAGACAGAGGTCGCAATTCCTCCTTAATGATATAAAAGATACATTCGGTTTTAGAAGAGTTTGATGGCAGTGTTTCCACCACAGCATGTTATCTAGTTCAGTAGGTATAGACTTTCTTTTATGGTGCCAGTTTAGATTGAGAGTGTTTTTCTTTTGAAAAAAAAAAAAAACAGCAATGTAAAAACAATATTTATTCAGGTGGTACTGACTGATATTTGTTTAATAATATGAAACTCTGGAGTGTTGGAAAAAAAAAAACATTGTACAGTTTAATTTGACTTGAAATTTGGCTCTACTTCCATATGCCGAAAATACACACCATGATTCATTGGGGTTTGGATGTCCATACTGTTGACAGAGATGATTCCTCCATGCTTGAGTTTTACTGTCATGTCCTCCAGAGAGGGCAGACTGAGTGTCACTGAGCGTGTGCACACAGCATCCTGATCATCTGCACACTAGGACAAGAAACAACCAAAAAAGGCTTCTTAACCATTCAATAAATTTTTTAATCAAGAAAATGTTACAGGGGGGCAAAAATATCATGAAATAGGCGTAAAAACATGATTTACCTGCACATTCTCAATTATGACTGAAAACTCATTATTTGTACAGTCCTTTGCCAGGAGATACTGACAGTGGCCAGTAAAGGTGAAATATTTGTTGTCAAAAGTCTTGAAGTGAGACTGTCCAACAACTAGGCATTCACCTACACAAAATCAAAGAGGATGTAACACCTGCAATCAGCTGGACAGGGCATTAACAAAATGCATTAATGTGGTGCTCACCAGGGCATTCTTCGTTGGTACATTCCCAGGACCCATGGCGGCAAACACTTTAATAGCAGATAAAATATTGGTGAGTCAGCTCAATGGGATTACTGTTTATGAATTGACTTATTCTATGATTTACCATGTGTTACAGTCTTGAGAGATGGTAGATCCTGGAGGGAAATGTCGTCCCATGTGTGCGCAGGAACACTGAGATACCTCCACACAGCGATTTCCATCCAAAACCTTTCCAGCTGAAACACATGCACATGTCATGTTAAAGCTGGCAACACTACAACACAGGGCAGAGTTATATTTAGTGTGTGAGAGCTTACTAGGGCATGTACAACCATCCACACATTCCTCCTTACAGACCTCCTGTATGTTGAGACTATGGCAGGTGGTGGAGCAAGACTTGGTGCATTCACTATACTGCATGCCTATCGGGCACTTGGGAACTGCAAGACACATTGAACATTTTACCTCACAACCTTTTTTAATGCCTTTTCAGATTGAACAAACTTACAACACTGGGCCTCCTCCATCCAGCCATGCAGAAGAATCCCGTGAGCATGGCATGTGCGAGCATACTCCAGCAGAAAAGGACAGGAGCAGTCTTCTGCATTTTTCTGTTCACAGTGGCAGGCCTCCGCCTGACACAGCGACAGGAAAGCATCGGGAGACACCAGGTGGGAGCAATGGAGGAACACGCTAGAGCTCTGCAGTACACTGCAAGTGGACAAAATCTGCAGAATCAGACATGAACATTCAGTTGGTCATTAATAAAAAGGCAACACTTTATTTTATCCAAATATACAAAAAAAGATGTTGTTTGGATTGAAAATTAAAAATATTAAAAAGAAAAATGTTAATGAAAGCATACATTTTAAAAAAGGTCTGAACCATTAACTTTCTAGTTTTTAACAACTTTAAATTGAGAAAAAAATTATTTTGTCAAAGGTTAAAACAACTATCACACAATAACCCTTATAGATACTAAAATAATCAATTTAATCAGTATTTATTTATTTATTTTTTTATATATTTTTTTGTTTTTCACAAGCTAGGGTTGGTAAATAATTAGGGGTATTGATGTTACACCTGTTTATTTTATAAACGGCAATTTGAGAGAAACAGTAAAATTTCTATTTCCATATTTTCCAACTTTTAAAATATACGATTTGAAAGCAATGGAAACATAATTAGTTGAAATAATAACTGGAGAAAGCTTTTCTAGGTGAATTTATTCTTATCTCGACTTGTTTAAAATTATTGACATAAATCTTATTATCCGAATATTTTGTCACAGTTATTTCAAACTTCTAGTGTCTTATTTGGATTCAGACCAACCCAAGGTATTGTAGAATTTTCAAGGGAAGGTAAATTACGGTATTAAATAGTTTGAAACACAAAATGTGTGGTGTGCATTTTCACTCATACAACTTATGTATTACAATTTGAAGCCAAATTTCAGAGCAATTTTTTAATTTTTCATTTATTTATTTTTTTTTTGTAATTGCTTTGGCTTTTGTCTCCAACAGATTTTAATCAAGAGACTACATTTTGATATTTTCTTTAACTTTGCAAAAATAATTCAGTCAGACAGATTGAATGGTGAAGGTATGTAAATAATAAGTTCAGGTCCTGCCATACAGTCCTAAATGGATTTAGACGAGGGTCATTTTAAAGTATGAATATGTTTTGATCTAAAAAATGCTGATTGAATGATTAGGAGAAACTATGACTATTATAAACTTTTCAAGGAGCTTTTTTCCATGATGTTCTGTCTTTAATCATTCCTTTCTTCCCTCTGCTCCTGACCAGCTTCCCTGCTCTGCTGAAGAAACATATCCCGACAGGATAAGGCTGCCACTACCATGCTTTGAGTGTTCTGAATGCTCCAATGGAAAGAACATACACGGGCGTTTTTAACAGAGGTGGCAAGTAACAAAGTAAAAATACTTCCTTACTTTACTTAAGAAGATATTTTGGCTATGCTTTACTGGAGTAATTATTTTTTAGACAACTTTTTAATTCTACTCCTTAAACTTTCTTGCAATAATATCTACTTTCCACTCCTTACATTTAAAAAAATAGACTCCTTAGTTTTGTTTCATTTAAGCCATTTTTTGTTATGTCTTGTTAATAAATAAAAATAAATAAAAACCATCAAAATAATTTGTTTCCTCTTGACAATAAATTTTTTTGTGGTTAGACGCCAACTTGTTCTTCCCCTCATAGCAAAATAAATAGCTTTTCAAGCTGATGCAAAGTAAAATTTCACATTATTGCAATTAGTTATAAAAACAAATAAAATTAAGTATGAGGAAGTTATCATCCAGAATTGTAGAAAAAAGTATTCTTTAATAGGTTAGTGCAATGTAAGGTTTAAAGCTTCTTTTCTCAACATTGTTTTTCCTGTATTACTTTTACTTTTATACTTTAAGTAGTTTTAAAACTGGAACTTGCACCAGTTTGTTTTTACTTGAGTAAAAAGATTGATATTCTTACTTCTTTAGAAGTTTTTTAAACTGTAGGTTTATACTTCTCCGTGAGTAATAAAACTACTTTTGACACCTCTGGGTTTTAACACATGCTCCCCACATTTTCATTTACTGGAAAAATAGAGAATCATAACCATTTTCCTTTTGCTTTACATTAACACACAACTTTGTGTCAGCATATAAAAAAAAAAGGAAATAAAGTGCCATAATTCAAATTTTTAATTTGACGGTTAATAACTATATTCAAAAAAAAACACTGTAAAATAAAAATCTGAAAGAACAGATATAACAGGAAGTGGTGCATACTCTTGAATTCTCAAGATGTTTTACTTTTTGATTGAAATAATTGAGATTTCCAACTCACTAAAATCCCTAACAATTTTATTATATTTTCTTAACATTGTTAGTCTGTCATTGTACTATAGTTTAACTTTAAAGTTACTTGTGATACACACATGGAAAATTTTGCAATAGAGTAATTTATTTAGCAAATTGAAGGAGACAATTGGTGAAGTTCAGATGTTGTCAGATCTCACATGAACCCTTTCTATTAGGGTTCATATAAATTAATATTTATAATCAGATCAGCTTGATGACATTCTTAAAAATGTTGATGTGAGTGCTGATTGTCTGTTACCGCTGCTGTCCCTTTTGTGCTGTTACAGGATTGGGTGGGATCAGAAACCCGTCGACAGGCTTGGTCAGCTCCCTTCATTGCCCAGGAGTTTGCAAAATCATAACTATCCTCTGTTAGAAAGCCTGAAAGCACAGAAACATGTAGACGAACGGACATAAGAGATGACAGATTTGCTCCTTAATCTCACCATACCACAATTGTCTTTGCTTGCTTTTACTGTGTTATCTTTTCCTGTACTCAGTGGCTGCTGTTCCTGTTGCTGAGTGCTGGTGACTCAAATCGTTTCCTAAATTCCAGTTATAATGAACTCTCCTTTGTTCAGCTTTAAAACTATCAGCTAGACAGAAAATTGCTTTAAAATTTGTCTCATTTCAGTAAATTAATTTCAAAGCGAGAGAGAAGTATCATATATTTCAAATAGAGTGACATTTCCTGTCATTATTTCTGGTAATACTGCTGCTTTTGGTTTACTCAGGAAAAACCCTAATTATAATTCTCAGAAAACCAAACTTTTAAATGAAGTAGGATTAACTGAATCTCATAGTGGGATCTACTGAGTATATCTCCTAATTCACCTACCCTCCTGAGCTGTGTATTCATCATGTGGAACTGCATTGAAGTTGCCACAGAGGCCACAGGTGCGGTTAGAATGGCGTTTGCCCAGCGTCAGGGCAATGTTGGCAGCATTATCAATGGTGACAGTGAAGCCAAACTCTTCACTCCAGAGCTTAAAAAACCCAAGCTCTGAGCCCGCAAACACAGAATGAGACGCATACGGAAGAGAGAGTCTATTAAAAGGGAATAAAAAGAACATAGATGATCGTCATTAGAAATGCCTTTCTTTATTATTTTTGTGCATCTTTTTTCTTTTGGATTTTTTCGCACCTTTTGCCTCCTTCAGAAAGTTGCCCATCTATTGACAGGTGCAGCCCGAAGACATCACCCAGAAACAATGTGATTCCTGTTCTTTTGCCATTTTGAAAGTCACCTGTGGATTCAAAGCCATTTTTTTACATCAGTAATATGGCTAAATATTCATAAAAACAGCAATAGGATTTCCTGCTAACAAAAAAAAAAAAAAAAAAATGCCATTTTCTTGATACATTCAACATCAAATACTTTTTGGTACCAATATGTAAGGCAGGCTATACATTTGGAACACACATTATTTATTTATTTATAGACATAGCTATTTGTCTTTTGAATTAATCCTCTCTATGGGACTCACCTAGGAGTGTGAAAGACTGATGGTTGCAGTCCCCTGCCAGAAGATAGCTGCAGTCTCCAGGAAACTCATATATAACCCCATCAAAGGTATGAATATGATGTTGTGCAAAAAGACTACATCTCCCAGTCATTCCTGCCACGCATGCTGGATACACAATACACAAATAGGTGCAAAGTAGATACTGAGAAGTATATGATGCAGGGTTTATCATCGAAAGAAAGAGTTTACAGAAAACACTGACCTGTTAGCTGCAGAAAAACAAAAATATCTTGCAGATATCTCTTAACCTGCACCTAAAAAAAGAACACAAAGTTTTGACTCTCACCATAAATTGCTATTCTCTAATTAATGAGAAAATTCATACACAGCTCCTTGTCGGTCCTACCTCCATCGCTCCAGATGCCACAGAGAAAAAACTGAATATCAGGACAAACACAAAACCCAAGTTTAGATCTTACATAGTCATGATCAATAACTACAATGGTGACCGCGCAAAGATACGTGGCTTCAGTAGAGGTTCTGCATTTTAACAGAGGTCGTACCCCCGCCCAGCTCCAGAGAGGTTTCCTTCAAGGGCACTCCCCCTCACCAGGTTATGTCAGGGAATATCATTCTGTCCACAACTAGATTCCTGCAGACTGCCACCATCAAACACAACTTAGCAGGACAATGCCAGGATGTGCCCCCTGATCGCCAGGCTGAGTGATTAGTCCAAACATAACGCATCTGCGTCGGTGCCAACCCAAACAACTCTGGTGGAAAACACTCTCACCAGAGATATCTCACGCAATAACACTGCCTCTGTGGTGCCTCATGCATGTACTCCTGTCTTTGTTGCACCAGAATCCCACACAGACATATACTGGGAGCGAGTGATGATAAACACTCTCAGGTCAAAACCTTTGAGATTATATGTACTCCAAAAATAAATAAAAAAAACTCTTTGAAATGCACACCAATCAATTTCTTGATCTATGATTGCTAAACTGTTTTATATGTCTACTTATTTTGAAGCACCTTCTCAAAAATGAAGATGCAGTTATACTTTATACATCTTTACATCTTTATAGGAGATATTTGGCTTTAAATTGCATTCTATTTTTATAATATTTTTACCATCATTATTTTACGCTATCGTAGCTTTCTTGTTGGTGTTTCCTTTTCCTATGCTTCCTTCCTAAAACACTTTTGCTGTTTTTAAGGGTCTTGTGTAAAAAACCTGATCTGATTAGGTCTGGTTTAATTTAGTGACTCACTAATGTTGACATAAAGTTCCTGCAATCTCAATATTTGATTGGCTCGAATAATCAAAGGTTGACTGTTTAAAAAACAATAACTAGAAGGATGTAAACATGTTCCCTCATGCTTCTTTAGATGAGAGATGCAGCTTTTACATTTTTAGAAGAAAACTCCACCTTTTAAGCTGATCGGAGTATCTAGGAACTCTCTTTTAATAATCTTTTTTAAATCCTTAAGTTAATCCTTAAATAGATAAGAGTATATATTGATGCATCTAAATACCAAGATTTTAGGTCTAATAAGAAAATGAAACAGATGTCAAGAAAGACAATTTTTTGTATCATGCCTTGGAATTATTTGTGTCACCTTTGATTTGGGGCTGTGGATTTCAAAGTATGATTAAGCTAAGTTAATGTATTCTTAGAAAATATTATTTTGCAAGACAAATTTATGGATTCACTGATCATATGGGAGTTAAATTTTAAAGATTTACTGATGCTGCCAAATGATTAGTTTTAGGATAAATATAGGTTATATATTAAAGTATTGAACACACTTACTGAAATGTTTTAAATATTTTGTAAAAAAGCCTTTGTTGGCAATGACAGTTTCAAGATGCCTCAGTTGCATGCTTTGGTCAGGTGTCATTTTGGCCCATTCTTCCAAACGAACATACTTAAAGTCTTGAAGGTTTGGTGGGCCTCTTCTATGAACTATGAACTTAAGTCACGTTCCATAAATTTTCTATTATATTCAAATCAGGTGATTGGCTGGGCTGTTCTAGTAGCTTTATTTTCTTTCTCTGAAACCAACTGAAAGTTTCCTTGGCTGTGTGTTTGAGGTCCTTGTCTTGTTGAAATTTTCACCTACTTCAATCCTCATCATCCTGGTAGATAGATTTTTTTATCTAGAATTTCTGGACATTTTTCCATTCATCGTTCCTTCAATTATCTGAGGTTTACTAGTACCATATGCCGATAAACAGCCCCATGCCGTGATGTCCCCACCTCCAAACGTCACTGTCGGTATGGTGTTTTTGTGGTGTTGTGCAGTGCCATTTGACATCAAGACATGTGTAATATGGCATCCAAAGAGTTCAATTTTGGTCTCATCTGACGACAACAATCTACCAGAAATTCACAGGCTTGTCTCAATGTTACGCAGCAAACTGAACATGTCATGAAGCGCGGACAGAGGGACCCAGTATTCAAGTACTGACAGTCAGTAGGAAAGTTCAAAACATTTATTAAATAATAAAACAAAAAACTAAAGTGAAGCTGTGGCTCGCGGACACTGCAGGATGGGGAGCGGGGCACTGCCCAATCACAGAACTCTGCAGGAGAAACACAGGTAAGTGACCACAGGTAAGTGATCTGAGTTGGCCACTTACCTGGTTTAACAGTCCAGTCCTAGAATGTCCCAAAGTGCTGCAGTCTCAGAGGATATAATGGAAGCCGATCCTGGTCAGCGATCCAGAACAGACAGGAACAGACAGGGACAGGATCCAGATCAGGCTGGAATAGAAACAGGTGGCAGGATCCAGACTTCCAGGCATCCACAGGCTCCCAGGAGGGTTCAGAGTCTGACAGGGTCCTAAAGCGTGACCTGGTGGTCACGCACAGGAGCAGACAGGATCAGGTGCAGATCAGCAGGCTCAGTGGAAGAGGGTAGCCGAGACAGGACGTGGAACCAGAACTTGGAGGACTTTAAACTGGTCTCCTCCCTGGAGCCAGGCTTACTGAGATAAAAACTGAACCTCCCCACATAATGAGCCAAAAAAAAACAGAGGACTTTGCGGGGGAGGAACAGTGGACAATCAGGAGACGAGACAGACACAAGAACCCTCTTTCCACTAGCCGCCAGGATCCAGGACATGAACCATGAAATAAAAATAACAGACAGGCTAACAGAAAGACAAGTAATGATCTGGCACTGAATGCTCAGGCTGAACTGAATATAACCAAAAGGAAACAGGTGAGAGGAATAAATTATAATTGAGGCAGGGAGGGAAAACAACAGGTGAAAGGAATTACTAATTAAGGGAGAGCAAACAGGCCAGATCATGACAGAACAAGCTTCTACATGCTTTTTCTTTGGCAATGGAGTCTTGCATAGTGAGCGTTTTCTTTGAAACAATTGTACCTGCTAATTCCAGGTGCTTTTGAGGCACTCCACAAGTGGTCTTTGGCTCTTGGACAACTCTTCTGATAATTTTTTTTTTCCACTCCTCTGTCAGGAATTTTGCGAGGACAACCTGTTCAGGGTCGGATTATGGTGAAATTATGTTCTTTCCAGTTTCGGATCACGGCCCCAACAGTTCTGAATCTAACATTTAGATGTTTAGAAATCCTTCTGTAACCAATGCCATCATTAATTGCAACAACAAGGTTTCAAAGGTCTTGAGAAAGCTCTTTACTTTTACCCATCATGAGATTTGTCTTGTGTGATTCCAGAGACATCTTTTTATTGGCCATCATTTGTGGCTGAACCAGCTGATATTGGTTTGCACTGACTAGAAGGCAGGATTGCTTTCTAAATACTGAGAGATTTTAGCTGGTATCTTGACTTTCCATGCTGCACCTCCCTTTCGTCACGTGTTCATTATTTTTTTCCTGTGCCATTTCACAAGATTACACATAACTGTGTAGATCTATTGTTTGATTTCTTTGTCTGTGGATTGCATATTTTTTTCTTACTGACATCTGTTGAAAATGTCATGTCAGTTGCACAGAAAATGGTGGCATTTTCAATACTTATTTTACCCCCTGCTTACATTGTATCTATTTAATAATTGAAACACAAAAAGACTCAATTTTGTGAACAGGAGAAAACAGATGTAGAAAAAAAAGATTCTTTACGTGGTATTCAAATTAAGCCTCTGTAATATTATGTTTATGGTTCAGTATAGATGCTTAATTTCTAATGTGAATCTATGGTTTTACAGTTGTGGACTGCTGACAATGCATAATGGAGACAGCACAGTATAGCCCTCAATGGTTCAAAGAAAATAGCCTGCTGGAGCTCTGTGCTCATTCATGTGCAGCATATTAAATACATGGGCGCGCATTTCTTTTTCTGGGAGAATTACGTCATCGCACTATCCAGACTTTTTTTTTTATTTGGTGTATCATTTTATTTAACTATGGTTTCCAGCTATGCTTTACAGAGGAAAAAAATACATTTCTATTAAATTGTTTTGGGGAAAGTCAAAAATACGTTCAAAGTTTCACAGAATGCTACACTAGAGAGCATTTTCTTTATATTTGCTCCAATGTTATTTTCTTTTTGTCGCCGTGTAGCGGTTTGGGGGCGGACCACTCCAAGTGCGCACTGCACACAGAGACAGACAGCGCCAGCGCGTCGGTGAATATCCGCTCTGCATACAGGCTGTTATTTAGGGGAAGCACTTCTTCATTTGAATTCCCATCTCCTCAGGCATTTGGAGAATTTATAGCCGATAAATCGCAATGGCGGCGCTGTCGGGCGGAGAGCGGTGCATCAAGTATTTGATGTTTGCCTTCAACCTGGTTTTCTGGGTAAGTGTGAGGGGGAGAAAATATTATCCATTTCCACTTGCATCCGGTCGGTTGTTTATGAACGCGCGCGCGGACGTACACGTGCGCATGCTTCTCGTGCGCGCGTGGCGGTGTGTATACAGGTTACTAGATTCTGAATGAAATGATATGGGTGCGCGAATTGTGCCGAGGTCTTGAGCGGGTCTTATCGCTATGACTCGGATGATTCAAAGCACCGAGCGCCTCCACAGAGACACACACACACTCAGACACACCAACGTGTCTTGGGTATTTGTGGATAGGTCTGAGGAATAATCCCCAGTGGCCAAGTGACCCAGTTCCATGGCGGAGAGTTTGCACGCCAAACAGTTTGATAAATTAGACCAAAGAAAGGGGGCGCTTAACATAGGCGATATATTACTCTATAATATATTACCTTGGTTTTAAGATTGTAGGAGTAATGGGTCGTGCGCCACTTATAGGTTATTTGTGTCCCATATGAAGAGTCTGCAGGGTGTGTCTGATGTGAAAGCACATGTGGTAGTAAATAGATGGTTTGCCTTCTTATTATGGTCTCTAAATGTGGCTGCCATGTATAGAGCTGAGAATAGCTTTTCATCATAGGGTAGACAGGGATTTCCCAAGGTGTGTGCATGTGAGCATGCACGCGTGTGATGCATATGTTATTGTGTACTAAATTAAGAAAAACAAAATAATCGAAGCTAAGCACAACTTCTGAAATAAATACAGCAAATGTCAAAATGTATTTACTCTAATCAGCTCAA